TCACAGTGATGCTTGGAACCACAAAGCTGAGCCCTGTCCCGCCCTGTGCTGTCCACGTCACCTCTGACTCGAGCCACCTGCATCTGTCCCTGTGCCAGTCCATCTCGTGGGGGGCCTTTCACTCCTTGGCTGACCCTCTTTCTAAGCGTGGTGTCCCTCTCCAAGGAGTAACCTCTCCTAGCGCCATGCCCCAAGTAGGTGAGATGCTGTTTCTCCTTCCTTGTCTCTAAGGAGCACTCTGGTTGCACCTTCTGTGTGGATTACACCTCAACATCAAGACATGGGGGAAAAAGGTCCTCACCACTGGGCCAGGAGACAAGCATCATGACAGGTTTAGACTGTGAAGGTTTCCTCTGGCTTGGAGCAACATTCAACACCCTTGGTGCCAGCAGTCAGGAGATCGGGAGATGCCACCATCAGGCTAAACCAGTTTTGAGTTTTCATCCCAGTGATGATGTAACATGCAACTCATGAGGGGGGCGCGGGGCCGGCCTTTCAGACGGCAGCTGCCCGGCAGCATCTGCGTCTGCGTCAGGTCTGCTGCCTTCGTGGTGCCCGAGTTGGCAGAGCCTGGCTATCACGGGGCCAGCAATCTGAACGTCTGAATGTCAGTTGGTGTGAATGCGGAAGACTGAGATGCCTCTGGATTGTGGCATCGACAGACAATATTGAACCCACCCTAGATTTCTGGAGGAAGCACTCTCCTCGGGCATGAGGAGGGTGACTTTGTACTTTGGACACATTAGCCAGAGGGACAAGTTCAGGGGGAAAGACGTTCCTCAAACTCAGACTCACTGCTGTCCAGTCGGTCCCGACCTTGGCCTTCCAAGGCTGAAAGTGTCTACGGGGGCAGCGGCTCGTCTCTCTCCCAAGGAGCAGCTGGTGAATTTGAACTGCCAACCTTTCCGTTAGCAGCCTCATGCATTACACACGACACCACCATAAAGGAGTCCAGGGTGGTGCGAATGGTACCTGACAACCTGGATGTTAAGGTCTGTCCTGAGGTGCCCTGGAAGATCTACACCCACAAACTCTGTACCGGTGAACACTGTGAGCACAGACGGTCCACACACCGGCAACCCAGAGCGGGAAGTGGCCGGCACGCAGGGAAGTTACAGTCTGCCGGGCTGAGAGGACAATGGGCTGGGGCTTCCGTGAGCTCCTACTTCAGGAGAGACAGCAACGGCCCTCTTAACTACAAGGACTCGGGGTCCATCAGCTCAGAGTCTGAAGAGGAGACTAGGGAATGAGGAAAACTCACACCCACACTAAACCGTCACTGGGGATGTGCTTTAGCATCAGCTGTTGCTTTGAAACACTCTGACAAGGATGTTGAGACACTCTGTAGAGGTCCCTAACAGCAGATTTTCCCAGTGCAATTCATCTTTTGATTTCCTGACTGCTGGTGTTAAGAGTGTTGATTGTGGAACCTAACAAGCTGTAATTGTTAACAACCTCGTCTCTTCTCCATCTATCATGGTGCTGCAAATTGGCCCAGTGATGAGAATCTTTGTATTCTTGATGTTGAGCTTCAATCCCTATTGAAGATTATAGTCTTTAACCTTCTACAGAGAGTGTTTCAGGTCTTTTTCTGTTTCAGCAAGCAAGGTTGTATCATCTACCTAATGCAGGTTGTTAATGGGTCTTCCTCCAATCCTGATCCACATTCCTCCTTGTAAAGCCCTGCTTCCTGAATGTTCTGTGCTGCATATAGATTGAAAAGGCATGGAGACAGGATGCATCCCTAACACACTCCTTTCCCGATTTTGAACCACGCAGTGTTTCCCTGCTCTGTTCCAAGGACTGTTTTCTGGTCCAAAGACAGGTTTCACATAAGCTCAATCAAGTGTTCTCGGATTCCCATTTTCCGCAAGGTTAGCCACAGTTTGTTGTGATCCACACAGTCAAATGCCTTTGTGTAGTCAATGAAACTCAGATAGACATTCTTCTGATACTCTGCTTTCTGCCAAGATCCATGGGCTGGGCAGGGCAGGGCTGGGCTGGGCTGGGCTGGGCCTGGAGGCTGGTCAGGGCTGGGTAGGTCTGGGTAGGGCTGGGCAGGGCTGGACAGGTCTAGGCTGGTCTGGGCTGGGCTGGGCTGGGCCCGGTCTTGCTGGCCGCCCTTCTCCTAGTGGCCGGCACAACGAAGCCGTCTTCATGATGAATGGGGAGAAAGTGACAGTACCTGCCCCACGGCCTCGCCAGCAGGGAGAGGACTCACGTACCATTTTGCGAAAATTCTGGATTTTCATCCTCTGCATCGGTGACGGCTCCGTGGGTTTGAGCAGCAGGACGCAGCTCTGGATGAAGTTGCAGTAAGCAAACGTGCCGTCACCCTGCAGGTCGTACTTGAGAATGAGCTGCCGGGCCTCCTCTTCACTTAGGTCCAGGTTGAACTTCTCTGCAAGCTCTAAGGACAAGGAGGCCGGCTCAGCAGGCGGGGCGTCCGCACCCTTCACTCAGCCGTGTCTGCTGGACACTGTCCCTGCTCGAGGCCAGCCCAGGGACTCAGGGCCAGACCCACAGACGAACACAGACGGCTTTGTGACCAACCACGTGTCATGATGAGGTGACTCTGGTCCTCTGGGTCCACACCATCATGGGTGTGCCTGTCGTCTGGGGCCCATCGCAGGAGGGACACATATACTGGGCAGGTGGATAGTGGCTGGGGTCTGGTGGTTCCTGAAGGATGGGAGCAGGAGAGCGACAGCAGAGCAGTGTGGGGTGTGAGGGGACAGGAGGGTGGATGTGCTGGGCTGTGCAGAGCCACCTGGCCCCACCAGACAATTCTGGGTCAGCCCCTAGACACGGGTTTTCCAGGGGCGGTTGGAGGCTGGACAAGGGTCTGCCATGGTGAGCTGGTGGCGACTCAGTCTCAACTCATATGGACCCTGTGAACAACAGAGCCAACCTCGGCCACTGCTGTGCTGTCCCTTCCATCTCTGCTGGGCTCCAGCCTGCTGGGAGGGGGGACCTAGTAGTAGATTTCGTGCTGCTAACTCAAAAGGTCAGTGGTTCGAATCCACAAGCTGTTCGGTAGGAGAAAGATTGGCAGTCTCCTCCTATCTGGATTTACAGCCTCAGAAACAGAAAAGATGGGTTGGAATTGATGACAGTGGACTACGGGTCCTTTCTCTCTCTGTGTCCTTGTGGAGTTGAGACCAGCTCACAGCTGACCCTCTTGTGGGCTCTGGGGGCTGAAAACCATAAGGGAAGAGACTGCCTGTCCTTCTGCAATGCCATGGTGGATTCGAACCTCCGGAGAGGTGCTAACTTTAGGCTGGCGGCTCAACTCCTTACAGACTCTTCCGCCGTCACTGTTAGATGCCAGGAAGTCAAGCACAAATCACAGTGATGCTTGGAACCACAAAGCTGAGCCCTGTCCCGCCCTGTGCTGTCCACGTCACCTCTGACTCGAGCCACCTGCATCTGTCCCTGTGCCAGTCCATCTCGTGGGGGGCCTTTCACTCCTTGGCTGACCCTCTTTCTAAGCGTGGTGTCCCTCTCCAAGGAGTAACCTCTCCTAGCGCCATGCCCCAAGTAGGTGAGATGCTGTTTCTCCTTCCTTGTCTCTAAGGAGCACTCTGGTTGCACCTTCTGTGTGGATTACACCTCAACATCAAGACATGGGGGAAAAAGGTCCTCACCACTGGGCCAGGAGACAAGCATCATGACAGGTTTAGACTGTGAAGGTTTCCTCTGGCTTGGAGCAACATTCAACACCCTTGGTGCCAGCAGTCAGGAGATCGGGAGATGCCACCATCAGGCTAAACCAGTTTTGAGTTTTCATCCCAGTGATGATGTAACATGCAACTCATGAGGGGGGCGCGGGGCCGGCCTTTCAGACGGCAGCTGCCCGGCAGCATCTGCGTCTGCGTCAGGTCTGCTGCCTTCGTGGTGCCCGAGTTGGCAGAGCCTGGCTATCACGGGGCCAGCAATCTGAACGTCTGAATGTCAGTTGGTGTGAATGCGGAAGACTGAGATGCCTCTGGATTGTGGCATCGACAGACAATATTGAACCCACCCTAGATTTCTGGAGGAAGCACTCTCCTCGGGCATGAGGAGGGTGACTTTGTACTTTGGACACATTAGCCAGAGGGACAAGTTCAGGGGGAAAGACGTTCCTCAAACTCAGACTCACTGCTGTCCAGTCGGTCCCGACCTTGGCCTTCCAAGGCTGAAAGTGTCTACGGGGGCAGCGGCTCGTCTCTCTCCCAAGGAGCAGCTGGTGAATTTGAACTGCCAACCTTTCCGTTAGCAGCCTCATGCATTACACACGACACCACCATAAAGGAGTCCAGGGTGGTGCGAATGGTACCTGACAACCTGGATGTTAAGGTCTGTCCTGAGGTGCCCTGGAAGATCTACACCCACAAACTCTGTACCGGTGAACACTGTGAGCACAGACGGTCCACACACCGGCAACCCAGAGCGGGAAGTGGCCGGCACGCAGGGAAGTTACAGTCTGCCGGGCTGAGAGGACAATGGGCTGGGGCTTCCGTGAGCTCCTACTTCAGGAGAGACAGCAACGGCCCTCTTAACTACAAGGACTCGGGGTCCATCAGCTCAGAGTCTGAAGAGGAGACTAGGGAATGAGGAAAACTCACACCCACACTAAACCGTCACTGGGGATGTGCTTTAGCATCAGCTGTTGCTTTGAAACACTCTGACAAGGATGTTGAGACACTCTGTAGAGGTCCCTAACAGCAGATTTTCCCAGTGCAATTCATCTTTTGATTTCCTGACTGCTGGTGTTAAGAGTGTTGATTGTGGAACCTAACAAGCTGTAATTGTTAACAACCTCGTCTCTTCTCCATCTATCATGGTGCTGCAAATTGGCCCAGTGATGAGAATCTTTGTATTCTTGATGTTGAGCTTCAATCCCTATTGAAGATTATAGTCTTTAACCTTCTACAGAGAGTGTTTCAGGTCTTTTTCTGTTTCAGCAAGCAAGGTTGTATCATCTACCTAATGCAGGTTGTTAATGGGTCTTCCTCCAATCCTGATCCACATTCCTCCTTGTAAAGCCCTGCTTCCTGAATGTTCTGTGCTGCATATAGATTGAAAAGGCATGGAGACAGGATGCATCCCTAACACACTCCTTTCCCGATTTTGAACCACGCAGTGTTTCCCTGCTCTGTTCCAAGGACTGTTTTCTGGTCCAAAGACAGGTTTCACATAAGCTCAATCAAGTGTTCTCGGATTCCCATTTTCCGCAAGGTTAGCCACAGTTTGTTGTGATCCACACAGTCAAATGCCTTTGTGTAGTCAATGAAACTCAGATAGACATTCTTCTGATACTCTGCTTTCTGCCAAGATCCATCTGACATTGGCAGTAATGTCTCTAGCGCCACGACCTCTTCTAAACCCAGCCCGTCTTTTTGGTAGTTCTCTGTTAATGTACTGTTTCAGTAGTTTCTGGATAATCTTGAACAGGATTTTGTTAGTGTGATATTAGTAATATTGTTTGATAATTTCCACACTCTGTCAGGTCACCTTTTTTTTTAATAATGGGAATAAATATGAATCTCTTCCAGTCAGTTGGCCAAGTAATTGTTGTCCAGATTTCTTGGCACAACTTGGTGAGCACATGCAGGACAGCATATGTTTGTTGAAATATGTCGATTGGTATTCCACCAGTTCCTGGGGCTTTATTTTTTGCCAAGTCCTTCAGAGCAGCCTGAACTGCCTCCTTCATCACCATCGCCTCTTGATCATATGTTGTTTCTTGAAATTCTTCTGTGTCAGCCAATTCTTTTCGGTACAATGACTCTGTATACTTCTTCCATTTTCTTTTAATGCTTCCTGAATAATTCAATGTTTTGCCTATAGCATCCTTAAGTACTGTAACTCATCGCTTGAATTTGTTCTTTAGTTCTTTCAGCTTAAGAAATGCTGAACAAGTTTGGCCCTTTTCAAATTGTGGTCTGGAGAAGAGTCTTAAACATACCATGAAATGCCAAGAAAACAAATAGGTTTGTCTTGGAGAAGGTGCAATAAAGTTTCTCCTTAGAGACTAGGATTCTGAAGCTCCGTTTCACATACTTTGGGCATATGGCCAGGAGAGACTGGTCCTTGGAGAAGGACATGATGCTTGGAAGGGTAGAGGGACAACACAGGAGAGGAAGACCCCGGACGAGACGGATTGTTATAATAACTGGGGCAATGGAGGTTGCTGTGTCGGAATTAGTAAGACATACTCAGGACAGGGCAGGCTTCAGAGTTCTATAATAGGGTTGCAGGAAACTCAACAGCACATAAACACAACAAGGATTATTTATTATTGGTTCCATATCTAATTCTGTGAGTCTTTTGAAATTAAATCTATAAATGGGAAGAGTTTACGCTTGTTTTGTACATTTATAAGTGATAGGTCTTACAAAAACCTTTCTATCGGGTTTGGAACTTCTCTAACATACTGAGAACATTGGAGACACAGATGGCGATAGTGACTCCATAATCGTCAAGGTGGCTCTGACTCAGGATCACCCTCAGTTGGGTTCAGAGGCTGAAAAACCTTTACAAAAGGGACTGCTGGATTTGAAGTGCTACCTTTGAGCTAGCAGCCCAGCACACAATGTGCTATCCCACAAGGGATAATAGGATTTATTAAGCACAAAAGTGACACGGTCATATTTCTTTCTGTAATGACAAGTGTCACATAAATAATACCCAGTAATTACTGCGAGTGCAAACCTGCCGGGTTAATCTTGAAAGGTTTATAAAAAGTCTCACTGTTGCTGTGTGTTGTGTGCCATCAAATCGGTTCCAACTCCTTGCTGACCCTCCAGCAGGTCCCCAGAGGCAGTAAGTGGCATAGGAGGGGGTGCCCATCCTTCTCTCACAGAGCAGCTGGTGAATTAGAACTGCTGGCCTTCGGGATTGCAGCGCAGCTCCTCACTGCTAGGCCACCAGAGTTCCCCAAGCTTTCTCCAAGGGCTTAGCGGATCAGTTCCCCCTTGCAGTGACCTCCCGTGACAGAGCAGAGCTGTCCCACAGGGCGTCTAACTGGGACCCTTACGGCAACACATCAGCAGGTCTTTCTCCCACGGGCCCAGTGGGTGAGTTTGAACTGCCAACTTTTTGGTTAACGGCTGGGCACTTAACATGTCACAGTATTAGTACTAATAAGAACTGCTCCTGCTGTCCAGTCATCCCGGACTCTCAGCGGCCCTCGGGGGAGGAGAGCGGCCACCCAGTGTCTCCGAGGTCTCCATGGGCCTTTATGAAAAGACTGTCGACTTTCCCAAGGGGCAGCTGACGGCCCTGATGACAAGTGAGATGATGGTGGGCAGACGTCAAAGGGAGTGGTGCCCCTGGGTCCGACGGTGGTGGACCTGAGCAGCCCCACCTGCCCTGTTTCTTCCCTGCTCCCCCATCACTGTCAGCTGTCACAGTGAGTTCACGGTCTGTCCCGTGCAGTCATCACCCAGGCGGGTGGGTTCTGCAGGGGCTGAGCTGGACTCTCCACCCACGGTGGAGACAACAGGGTGGACCGTCCATGTTCCGTGTGTCTGTTGAGACGTCCTCAGCCGGCCTAGGAGGGGTTAAGGGCCCCTCCCTACTTGCTCTGAGGGCCAGGCTGTCCCCTTGACCCACCTACTCCCTCCTGCTTCCCCATCCCATCGTCCCTCACTCCACCCGTGTCCAGTGAGGACACCCGGCATGCACGGGGGTGATGCTGGACCCAGGACAGGGCGGGGGGCACGCACACACCCAGGAAGTCAGAGGAGGTGATCTCCCCGCGCCGGCCACTGTCCCTCTCCCGGCAGTCCTTCAGCAGCTCCTGCCAGCAGCCCTGAAGCTTCCGGCGCAGCCTTTGCTCCACCAGCTCGCAGTTCTGCAGGGGCCGGCTTGTGGGGGTCTGGTAGGAAGACAGGGGAACAGGGTCTCAGGTGAGATCCCAGACGAGTCATGGTGGAGACCTCACAGGGTCGTTTATGTCCCATCAGTGGTTGCGATTGTGCCGAATCATAATGTTCACAATAAGTTTGGAATACATACAGCTGAGGTTCAATCAACCCGGGTGTGAGTGTGTGTGAGTGTGAGAGAGAGAGAGTGTGTGTGAGTGAGAGTGTGTGTGTGAAAGTGTGTGTGAGAGTGTGTGTGAAAGAGTGTGTATGAGTGTGAGAGTGTGTGAGAGTGTGAAAGTGTGTGAGAGAGTGTGTGAGAGTGTGTGTGAAAGAGTGTGTATGAGTGTGAGAGTGTGCATGAGTGTGAGAGAGTGTGTGAGAGTGTGTGTGTGTGTGAGAGAGAGGAAAAATGTGAGAGTGTGTGTGTGTGTGAGAGAGAGAGAGAGTGAGAGTGTGAGTGTGTGTGTGTGGCCGCAGTGGTCCTGACCCACAGCATCTCCTCGCCCACTCTGTCTGACCCTGTCTAGTCTGGAAGCCCTTGGACCCTGCCCACTATGACCGACCCTGCTGGGACGCGAAGCAGCAATGACATAGCTCCCAGCATTCCAGCAACACGCAAACCACCACAGTGTGGAAATAAATGAGAGGGACAAGCCATCCACTGCCCCTGAGTCCTTGCCAGCCCGCAGCAGCCTGCAGGAGGGAGCAGAAGGGTCTCCAGGGCCACGTTGTCACGGCAGCAGGGCCACCACGGCTTTCTCCAGCAGAGCAGCTGGGAGGTCTGAGCCTCCAAATTCTGGTTATCAGCTGAGCGCTGAACCAGGCACAGATGGGATGGGTCGTCTCTATGGAGAGCCTGCCCGGTCGGCCCACCGTGCTTAGGCATCATGACCTCTGGCACCCGACTGTGACCACTGCCTCTCTCATCACGCGTCCTGAGGATGCCTCAAGTCCACTCAGAAGTCCGCCCACACCCCACGAGCACCCTGACCTCTCGAGGATGCTCCACTCACCCAGAAGCACCTTGTCCTGTACACCAGCACCCTGGCTTGCCCCTCCACTCTCCCAGCACCCCCAGTTCCCAAGAGCACCCTAAGCTGCCTCATGGATGTGTCAGTAGCTCCACCCCCCTAGAAACATCCTGGCCTATCCCACGGATGTTCTAGCAACCTCCTCAACCCCCTGTCCAGAAGTCCCCTGGCCAGCCCCAAGGGTGCTCCAGCACACACCTCCGACCCCCTGTCCAGAAGCCCCCTGGCCAGCCCCAAGCATGCTCCAGCACCCATGCCTTCTAGAAACCCTAGCTTGCTCTGCAGATACTCCAGCCCTTCCCCAGGCACCGGCCCTGCAGCTGTCGTACCCCAACTCCTAGAGTTTACCCTAGCTCACCCCAGGACACTTTGCGTTCCCGACCCCCAAGCATCTGGCCTGGTGGAACTTGTGGTCCGGCTCAGCCTGCCCGCCACACCTGATTCTGAGCTACTCACGCCAGAGCAGCTCCTTGTCTTCGGTCCTCCCTTCTGGTCCCGTGGGGTTGAAAAGCGGCCTGATCTGATCCCTTCTGAGACTTCGAGGATGCTGCTCCCTTTCTGGGCCCTGACCGAGTCCCCCGAGGCCGGCACAGTCTCCTTCTCAGAGCTGAACGTGTTCAGGAAGTCCTGGTAGTACAGCCTGCCCTTGGCCGTGACGGGCATCTCGCTCCAGAGCTTGTCAAACTGGGGACGGAGCAGAGCAGAGCAGTGTGGGGTCAGCTTGAGAGGCTGGCCGAGGCCTCACAGGAAGGGGAGCTCTCAGAATGCGGGGATCTGCTTCCATGAGGCCATGACCTTGAAAACCACGCAGGGCAGCGTGACAGTGTCACTGTGAGTCACCAGGTGTCTTGGGGTGAATGTGACCCCTGAGACACATACAGGAACGTGGGAGAGCCTGGAACAGCCCACAAACTGCACAAACAAGTCTGTCTTGGAGGAAATGCAGCCTGGGTGCTCCTGAGAGGCAAGGATGGGGGAACGTAGTCTCACGGACCTTGGAACGCTGTGAGGAGTCCTCGTACAAGGGTTTCATACAGGAAAGGAGGAGGGTCAGACAAAGTGAGGAAGACCCTCAATATAATCCACAGACACGGTGATTGCCACGAGGGGCTGAGTGGGAAGGAGATGCTGAGGATGGTGCGAAACAGGACAGCGTTCTTTGTGTGTGTGTGTGTGTCTTTTTTATTATTATTAATTTTAATGAAAGTTTACAGAAATGAGGGTTTCCAGTCATTCATTGTCACACTTTTCTCCCTGCCCCACCCAAAAATGCAGAGTGTAAAACGGTGCAACCACTATGGAAGGCTGTATGGCGCTTTCTCAAAAAGTCACAAATAGAGATACCATTTGACCCAGCAATTCCACTACTAGGAATATACCCCAAAGAGACCATAACTGTCACCCAAGCAGATATACGCACATCCATTTTTATCATGGCTTTGTTCACAACAGCAGGGAGTTGGAAACAACCTAAGTGCCCATCAACAAATGAATAGATAGAGAAGCTATGGTATATTCATACAATGGAATACTACGTTGCATTGAAAAACAAGGAACTCATATTATACAAAATGGGTGACCCTGGAGGACATTATGCTGAGTGAAGTGTCTCAGTCACAAAAGGACAAATACTGCATGGTGCCACTGTTGTAAAACAGGACTGACCTGGGGGTTGGGAGAGACTGAGAAAGAGGGGATAAATAATGTATACTGCATTGGAACAGATGAGGGAGAAAACTGTTTAAAAGGGACATACGAATGGGTATTATTGTCATGATAGGAGTCCAGAGTGAAGGCTGTACAGTGGAGTGGACTGCAGGGAAGGGATTGCATAAGTGGAGTGGACTGCAGGGAAGGGATTGCATAACAATGAAGGAGTTTTTCTTTCAATGACAGTGTTCTGGTCCTGTCACTTATAAGTCTTAGGGAACTAGTAAACATATAGCAGTAACAATGATATGTCAAGCTGTGTAATCAGATCCCTGAAGGTCTGATAAACCAAATGGCTGTGCAGAGGGTGGTTCAGGACAGAATGGGTGGGGTATGTGGATAAGAGCCCTCTGGCCTTGGGGACAGCAGCTCAGGCCAGCACATCATGAAGGGGCTCTTATGGGCTTTGGGGCTGTGAACAATCAAACAGAATGTGAACTCCTTCCTCCCCATCTCTCTCTGCACCCACAGCCAGCAGTACTCATTCGGCTGCACGGATTCAGCCTACCCCATATAGTCCATGCCATCAGCCGGACACAACGCCAAGCCATAACATTCTCCCCACCCTCCATTCCTCACACCTCCCTCTCCACCTTTTGAGGAAACAAACTATTGATGCGAACAAAGTGCCCCATGGGGATGGAACAGGAGCTCCGAGGGAGGGGCATCGGGACCCAGGGGAGTGGAGCCTGGATGTGCATTTTCTCTTGCAATGCTCTGCCTGAGCTGTGTCTCCATCAGGTCACTAATCACAATGTGGAGGGGCCTCAAGCTGCTGACTGACCAGTTGGCTACAGGATGTCCCACAGAAGTGTCTGTGGCCCTCCCGCCTTCACTCTCTGGCCTTTCCCTCATGGAGGCTACTGGGTTCTTCCTCAGGTCTTTTTCTTTTTCTTTAACTGGCTCAGGCTCTAGCCTGTGCGGGTCCTGGTGGAGTCTGCTGGACTCTGCCCTCAGCCCAGCATTGTCCTCCTGCCTTGGCCAGGGAAGTTCTTCTCTCTCCTTACACTGTTGTTGGGTTTGTAGTCCTTACAGACCCCTGGGGTCTCAGCTCCCCAGTGCTTCTCTAACAAGGGCACCATGGGTGGACGGCTTCTCTCACAGTTTAGAAGACTGGATGTCCAAATTCAGGGCACTGGCTCTTAGGGGAGGGCCCCCTCTCCTTCAGGTTCTAGAGGAAGATCCTTCAACATGTGTAGGCCCCGCCTTCCTTGGAGAACTCCCTGTGATGTGCCCTGAGACAGAAAGGGTCAATTCCACCTCCCCACCCCTACCCTTGAAACCACTCACATCGCACCCCCCACTGTTGCTGTGATTCTTTCTTGGTTCTGAGAGCCCTCCCCTCCCTGGGGTCACTTTCCTTCCCACCCTATTATCTCTTGTAAAATAAAAGGTGTTGCAGGCCACACCCAGGGAATCTTCCTCACTTCACATTAGGCTCTTATCCACATACCCCACCCATTCCAGACTGGGGCTTCTGGGTCTCCACTACTAGAGTTTCCAAAGCAAATGACATGTGAGCATGCTTTCATCCTTAGAGAGCCCTGAAGTGATGTTTCAAGGGGAGGGAAAAGGAGGAGAATGTTCTAGGCCCTGAAAAGGCAGTGGTTTTATATGGAATGACATTGTTAGTTAATTTATTATTATGTTTACAAAGACTACAGCTTTCAATATGGATTGCATCTCAACATCAACAAGACAAAAAGCATCACCACTGGACCAACAGACAACCACAGGCAATACAGTGACAGATGGAGAAAAGATTGAAATTGTCAACCTTTTCATCTTACTTGGATCCACAAATAAGACCCTTGGTACCAGCAGCTGGGAGATCAGGTGATGCGTTGCGTTGGGAAAGTTCACTGTCAAGGACCTTTCCAGTGATGCTAGTTTGAAGACTAAGGTGTACCTGTTTGAGGGCCTGGTCTTTTCAATCACTTGCTATGCTTTTGAGAGCTGGGGGATAAAAAAGGATGACAGAGGGAGAATGGATGCCTTCGAGTTTGGGTGTGAAGAATAGTACTGAATATCCTATGGATTCCCAAAAGAACAGATACATCTTGGAAAAAGAGCAGCCAGAATGCTCCTTAGAGGTAAGGATGATGAAACTTTGTCTTACATGTTTTAGAATGTTATTAGGAGAGACTATTCTTTGGAGAGACATCATGCTTGGAAAGGTGGCGGGTCCATGAAAGAAATGAAGACCCTCAACCAGATGGATTGATACAGTAATAGTAACAAGGGGCTCACGAGTGTTAGAGATGATGAGGCTGACAGAGAATAGGACAGGGATCAAATGTGTTGTCCATACGGTTGCTAGGAGTCAAAATCATGTGCAAGTTCAATCGGAAGCGAAAGAAAATGAAAACACATTCACAAGAATGAAAGTAAGACCTCTAGTCGATCCCCCTCAAAATCTCAAAAACAGATTTGAGAACAAAGACTAGATGAGCTGTGGATAATATTAAAAAATATTGTCCATGAAGAAAGTAAAAGGTAATTACAAAATCAGGAGAGGGAGAAAAGACCAAAATGAATATCAGAAGAAACTTTGACCACTGTACTAGAATGCCAAGAAGTCAAAAGACAGGGAGGAAATTAGGAAGTGAAAGAGTTGAACAGTAGACTTTAAAGGGCAGCTAATGAAGACAGAGCAAAATATTGCAACTAAATGTACAAAAAATTGGAGTCAGAAAATCAAAAGGGAAGAACTCACTCAGCATTTCTCAAGCTGAAGGAACTGAAGAACAAATTCAAGCCTTGAGTTGCAAAACTTCAAAGATGCTACAGGAAAAATACTGAATGATCCAGGAAGCATTTTAAAAGAACATGGAAGGACAAATACTGCACAGTGCCACTGTTGTAAAATGGGACTGACATCGGGATTGGGGGGAGACTGAGAAAGATGGGATAAATTATGTATAATGCATTGAAACAGATGAGGGAGAGAACTGTTTAAAAGGGATATATGAATGGGTATTATTGTCAAGACAGGAGTCCAGAAAGAAGGCTGCACAGTGGAGTGGACCTGGGGGGAGGGATTGTATAACAATGAAAGAATTTTATTTTATTTTTTTTTTTTACTTTTCAAAGAGAAGAGTGAACTGGCGGGGGGGGGGGAGGGGGGCAGGGAGAAAGGTGCAACAATGAATGAATGGAAATCCAAAGTCTCTGTAAATTTTCATTGAAATTAATTAAAAAAAGAACATGAAAGGGATATACAAAGTCTCTGTACCAAAAAGAATTGTCTGCTAACACAGAACTATTCCATGAAGTAGTATATGCTCAAGAACCAATGGTCATAGAGGAGGAAGTTCAAGTTGCTTTGAAGGAATTGGCAAAAAATAAGGCCCCTGGAATTGATGGAATACCAATGGATATAGTTCAACAAACAGATGCAGTCCTGGATGTGATCTCCAGCCTGTGCCATGAAATCTGGAGGATAACTACTTGGCCAACTGTTTATTCCCATTTCCCCAAAAAAAGGTGATCCAACAGAATCCAGAAATTATGAACCTTTATTGGTAATAGCACATGCAAGCAAAATCTTGATGAAGATTATCCAAAGACAACTAGAACAGTATACTGACAGAGAACTTCCAGAAATACAAACTGGGACCTGGTGAATGTTCCACGCACAGATGCTTGCCTGCTTCCCTTAGAAGCATATAGCCTGGACCCAGCAGCTGGCAATTTCCAGAACCTATGTGTCTGCACTTGGCTTTGCTTCAGGCTCAACAGCCAAGAAACAACACCAACACTCAGGAGTCAGCTAAGACATCGCCCTCCCTTGGGATATCATCCTATTCTGCCAGCTGTGTGCCTTAACTTGAAGGCCCCAGAAACCATCCTGGGACAGAAAACAGAGACAAGGTCCTTCTTGTAAAACCTCAGCAAGATATGTAATATTTTTTAAAATCCTTGTCCCTGTGTGGTACATAGTATTCCACTGTGTGAATGCACCATAATTTCTC